TTGAAAAATACGGGTTGCACAATCTCACGAACAATCGTTTAAACACCTATCTTATGCATCAATTTAAATGATCAATTTCATTGAATTGTTTTCCCTTGATATTATTATTACACTTCCTCACTGATTCTCGAGGAATGTATGAAACTTAAATTATAATTAGCTAAGAATTATGGAGAGCTGCCTTGTGTTTGTGTATGTATGCAGCCAAAAGCAGCTTAGAATCAAATATAATCAACAAATAGCTAAATCAGTAAGCAAATATAATGAAAATGTACTCACTTGCATCTGCGAGTTTTTCTTCTCCAGAAGACAAAAGAGACGATCCACTGATAATGAGAAATATATCGTCAGTACCCAGTAGTTATATGAAGTATTTGGAATAGAGTCATGAAATAACTCAAAATAGTATCCGCACTTGGTCAAATAGAAAACTAGCTTTTATGAGATGAAGTTGGAAAAAAAAAACAGGTGTACAGAACCAAAAAAGTACCAGATAGAAGCAATAACAAAATTTATTTCAAGTAAGTTTGCTTTGAGCCTTTTACCAAGACTTGTCACACATGTCAGGAAAATTGGATGAACAGAAAATGCTGAACTAGGAACGAAAGCATAGCAAAATTTAAAAACATTTAAGAGCAAACAGCATGTAACGAAAAGTAACACAACCACCACACAACATTTGATCTAAATGGAATGCAACAACTATATCTCGCAATAGCATGTCACACACAATGTTAAAAGATACATTTGGTTGAAGAATCCTAGAAGAACAAAGTCAAAGAACCTCCGCATCACTGCAAAAAACTAAGATTAACTCGTTTAGTATCAATTTTACATATAATTAGCTCCACTACCAGTTGCCATGAAATGCATTGCTAAGCAATACTATCATGGAAACCGTAAGCTATAAAAATCAAAATTCACCTCAAGCAAATACTATGGGGTAAGCACTGATCTTGATCCTATTCCAACCCAAAAAACAAAATTCAGACACAGTAAAGATCTTTCAGGACACTATGCAATTTCTAATTCATGATGAGTACAAGACTCAAAGTTCCCAAACCACCCCATCACTTTCATATCTCAAGAGAAGAACATTTCCCCCTTCACTAGTTTAACTGCATATAAGCACAAAACTACAACTTTCCCACCATGAATGGAACTAATTAAAAACACAAAGAGAATCGATCATCATTACCTTTAATACCGACACGAAAGAGAAACTCCTCAACGCCACCTGCCTCCTCGGCGGCACCACTTTCGCCGGCGACATCTCCTTGCAAAGGTTCTGAGCAATCTCCTTCAGCAGCACCAGCTGCGCTTTATCAGTTCCGATCGAAATAATCGCCTGCCTCATGGACTCACGATCGGCCTCGAGCGCATGGAGCCTCGCGTAAAGCTTCTGTATCTCCAAATCCGAATCCCTCGGAGTCACTGCATACACATCCCCAACAACCCCTACACATGCCTTGTGTTCGGCTCCCTGATGTATCGAATCTATCGTGTACACCCTGTCATCCGTCTCATCCCCAGCCTCTGACCCACTATCCGCCTTCTTCAGATTAGAACGCAAATCCAAATGTGAAAGCTCGGCCTTCCTGAAGCTATCCCCGAACCTCGGAGAGTAGTTTGAGCTGTCTGTGGAGAACTTCCTGAGATGCCCGTTTGTCCGCCTAGGAGAGTGGCCCACGATCACCTTCTCGAGCACGTTCTTTGACTCCCGATCAGGTTGGATTGTCTTTGGGCTGTTTTTCTCAAGCTGATTGATCCGAAACTCCAAATCCTTGAGCTGGTGACGAGAGCTTGGAGTTTCATCAGATGCGTATTTCTCGACATCATCCGCAGCAGCAGCCTCATCATCATCATCACCGTCCATATAGGCCTGGGATTCATTGATATTAACCTTGAGCGGAGGGTAAATTTCGTAACGGGGAAAACCGAACGGGTTTTCGAGATTTTCAGTCATGCTCGTGTTCCGGCTCATGCTCCCATTAGTCTTGTACCCATCGAGCATGCCATCGGCTTCGGATTCCGTGAGACCGTAACTCATCATTCTGTGCTTATAAGCCTCGACCTCACAAGTCAGGGATTGAATGGCCTGCTCTCGTTTGTACAGCAAATCCTCCAATGCCAAGGTTTCTTGCTGGTCGTGCGCCATTTTCTCCTCTGCAAATCTCTTGAATTGCCTGGCTTCCATCTGAATCTCGGCTTTCTCTCTCTGCAGCCTCAGGATCATGGACATGGCCTCGCTGGCGGCCGATGACGAGGCGTTCCTTTCTTCCTCGAGCTCGGATATGAGTTCCTGAATCGTCTGCTGCTGGCTGGTGACTGTCTCGCGCAAGGCCTGGCATTCGTTCCCGATTTCTACACGGGCATTTTGGGGTAAATCGAGCCCGGGAATTGTGAAGGGCTTCTCATCCTCGAATTCTTCGTATTTACGCTTGACCGAACGGAGGTACGTGCCGGAGAGGGATCTGTCCATCACGGAGCAGATGCATCCACAGTCGCAGCATTTGAGGCGGCTCGGGGAAGAAGGTGAGCTGTCGGACTCCATGGATTGATGATAGTAACACACATCTACCAAGCCTTCAAGCTGGAGCAGGTGAAGATGTGAAGTAATTATCAAAAACTTTTAACTGTTATCAATATATCTATCTTTTGAGAAGAATTCGTTGATGAGATTCTGCAAAAATCAAAAAGCTCCAACACCAACACACCTCCGCCTTCAATGAAACAGTAAAAGGAATTTTTCCCTTCCCTTCGGGTTATGTGTGATTGTTGGTTATTTTTTTTTTTTCCTTCTTCTCCTTCTACAATCTCTGCTTTTCAGATCAAAATCCGAGAGCCCACAAATTCCTATCCAAACAAAAAAAAAGAAAAATATAAGAAATGACATTAACGAAGCCCTTTACAATCATTGCTCGGGACAAAATTATTTCCGACCCAGTCACCTCGAAGCTCGGAAGGCAAAGGTTGGAAAGAACAAGACGTACCTGAGACCCTTTTTTCCCGGGAAAATGTTATCCGGCGGAGAAACCGCTGGTTTTTCGGCTGCAGATTTTGATCCGTCGAACGAGAATAAATTTTCTCAGGGTGAATGGAGATTGAAGGAAAAAAAAACGAGGGAAAGGGAAATGAAATTTTGGGGAGGAGCGATTGGGGGGATTTGAAACCCTAGCTCGGCCTTTTTTTCTTTTTGATATTTGTTTTTTTGATCAGATATGCTTCGTTTTTTGTGAAAACTGTGTTTGCTGTTGTTTTTGGAGAGAGACGATTCTTTTAGAGAGAGGAGGGAGAGTGAGGAGAGAGAAGGGGTGGAGGGGTAATTTGGTAGTTTTGAGGTGACTTTTGACCTGTCGTCTGTCGGGGTTTTACTGGGAAGCGCTTGAATTGGCGCTTGTTCATTTCCGAATAATAATAGCAAAAAAAAGATTGGTGGATTTAGGAGTTGGCAAGTTGTCTTTTATTTATCTTTTTGAAATAGTGCTTCAAGCAAAAATTCGAGTTTGGGGAGTTAGATGGGTGAATACAAATTCAAATTCTGACTTCTGAAAAATCAGATTTGTATAATTAGGTGAATAGAGCTCACACGACTAGTCGACTATTTAAGTTTGTTTAATAAATGAATCAGAGCATAACTAAAGTTGTTAAACAAACGAGGTTAACGAACCGCTAGTGAATTTGGCTCGACTCGGTTCGACTCGTTATGGTTTGATCTTGACTCGGTTCGTTTGATAAAGAGCCGAGCTCGCTTATAACTCGTTTCATTAACGAGTCAGGCTTAAGTAGGCCCGATAAAGCTCGAAAATAGATTTTTTATATACTTTTCTACAGTTCAGTTCGTGAAAGCTCCAGATCTGCTCGTTAAGTTCTAACTCAGACCGTTAATATTGATAGAAGAGCCTAGCTCGAGCTTGATTTTTAATTCGTGTACAAGCCTAAGCAGAGCTGAGCTCGATTTGCGAAAGTTATTTTATGTTGTTGGCAAACATGAGGCGCGGTATTGTCATTTTAATTTATGTGCCGCGTAATTATAACTTAAAACCCTAACATCTATCACAAATCAAATTCATTATTTCTACATTTGGCCAGCTCCGCGGCTCCTTTCTCATTCTCTCAAGTCCTTCAAGCTTCAACCTCCAACCATCGACAAATTAGTGAAGAATGTAATTTAAGAAATTTTAAAGGTACTGTTGAGTTTTGTCTAATACTTTAAAGTGGTATGTCGATAATCATTTTGTAGTTCTCAAATGTTTATGTGGAAAGTTTAAACGTGTTACTAATTGAACATTTAAAATTACCATAATTCCTATTATATAAAAATACATAGGCTTTGTTTGGCAATCAGCTGTTAGCTGTTAGCAGTTAGCGGATTGTATTAACCGTTTTGACCAGCTGATTATATTAGCGGCTTATAAAAATATGTTTGGCAAAATTAGATGTTTGTTGTTAGCTATTAACATATAAAACTATTTGTAATACACTTTCATATATTTTTTAAGTTATAATCATAAACACCTTAAGTTAAAAATTATTTTCATATTTAAAAATATTCAAAATTAATTAATAATAATATAATGGCAGAAATATAGTTTTCCTGCCTTGGATATTTGAAATGAAGAGTCAAACAGTAACCAAATAAAAGATTTAAAATACATAATGACATATTTTCATACTATAATATTGTTATTTACAAATAGAAAAGAATGAATACTTTATACTCCACAGAAAAATATAAAAATAAATAAAAGAAAAAAAAATGAAGGCTCAAATAGTAGTGTCCAGACATTTTAAACAATAAGAATTAATAATACTTTACACTCCAGTGCTCCACACAAAAGAAAAAATTAAAAAAAAAATAAAAAAAAAACAAAACAAAAGGAAAAAGAAGAAAAAAGGCCCTAGTGTCCACCGTCCAATATTTTAAACCAATTAATTACATGCTCATTTATAAAAAAGCTATTCTTAAACGCTACATGGAGCAGCATTTTCAATTTTGACGTTTTGGATGAAAACGCTGTACAAATAATCTATTTTACTAAACATATGTTTTTAGCTGGTCAAATTGTCAAACAAGCTAACTTTGGTCAAAACGCCAAAAATTGGCCAAAACGCCATTATCCAAACAAGGTCATAGTCTTTGGAATCTAATTGTTAATTTTTTTGCTTCTTAATTGTATAATAGGTCAAATTTTGTCGTAAATCTTTAAATTTGCAATTGAAAAAGAAGTTGTTAAATACTTCAAACGAAAAAGTGCTTGAGGACCACTTCTTATAATTAGAATTCCTACACTTTTCGCAGACGTGTATAGATTATAGATTCCTGGGTTGCACTTGAATCTTATCCAACCATACACAAGTGACTTTGATGTTAAATTATTAGTGGTGGGATTTGATTTTCCTTAAATTTAATTGATAAGTTATCCACTAATTATTATAATAATCACCATTAGCCTAATTGATAAGATTTGATAAGGGTGCAAATAGTAAATTACCCACGGGTGCAACATCATTTTCTAATCAAACTATGATGTAATTTGGTAGTTGGAGGATATATGAACTCATGGTACGCAACTCAAGGGCTAAACATCAATTACCTAATTAAGCGTTTTAATGCGCATGGTGATATAGGATACCACATCGGTTCGACTCGAACCGATAAGGTACTCAGAGCTGGTTCTGAACATTTTGGGACCTTAGGCAAAATATAGAAAATCATGCTCCAAGTATTTTGTTTACTCTAAAAATAAAATGATATTTTTTTAAGAAAAAATAATAAGAATTGAATATTTTCTTTGGGTATTTTTAGATACAAAATCATCAATTATATCTTTATAATCTAAATTTTCAGTAATATCTTTTTCGATGCATATAATAGCTAATTTGTAAAGCACCATTCTTTCATAAGAACCATTCACCAATAGACTTTTCAAACTCAAACATTGAAAAGATTAAATAAATTTATAAGCCCCAATCTCCAAAATTTAAGTTGTCGCAATGCTAAATTCCAGTTTCCATCTATGATAAATTCATAAGCCCCAATTTCTAATCTACAAATAAACTACAATAAATTCAATTCCAATTCTAGAAGAAAAAAATACAAAAACAAGTCAAAGGAAAAATTGAAAACTGATTCATTGCCGGTCCAATTTTTTTTTCAATTAGATAACAACATAAACTAATAGAATAGGTGAATTTTCTCAAAATAAAGAAAACATTCAAGAAATCTCTAAACATGTTGGAAGTGATTGATAATTTTGTTAATGGTTGAACAATTGATGTGGAGAAAAAAAAAATAGAGGGAATAATGGTGAATAAGAAAAACAAAGGCTGAAAGGGCCATTATAATATTTAAAAATTAATTTACTTATCCTTAGAATTTGGGGCTATTAGAATTTGGAGAATGAAAAAAAATAGAGAAGATGAACATTTGAGGAGGGAATTGATTAGTTTCTGTTCTGTGTTTTTCCACTTTACGGCACATTTTTTTAATCATTTTTTAAAGGCTAAATTGTGGGCTTGTCAAATTGAGTTCAATGATACACTCTACTCCACTTTACAGATAGTATTAGATATGTATACTATATACATATATTTAAAGTGTAGGGGCTGATGATGGTGCCCGGCCCTCAATGTAAATTGGGCCCTGGGCCAGCGCCGGCCCTGAAGGTACTAACTGAACCAGGTAAACCGATAGGCTCTTTACCGTGAGTTGGTGGGCTGCAGTGGGTAGTGAAGCCGTAGAGTGAATGTGGGGATACTTCCCAGTCGACAAAAAAAAAAAATAAATAAATAAATAAAACACAAGTCGACCAGAGGATGCCGATCAGATAGGTCGCTGATGCAGCAAGTCTATGGTGATCACTGACGAGGGAACACACCAATAGGTCTAGTTAGGGTCCTTGGATAGTCTGATAGAAACTCGACCTAGGAGTACGCAGATTGATGCATCGACCTTGAGGGCCGTACAAAAGCTTAGCACATAAGACACTTTACATCGAGGTAAATCGGGTTGATCGTATGATTAGACCGTCTAATAGGGCAAACTAATGGATAACAAGGAATATTACGAGGATAAGAACCACAGGGGAATTGGGACACGTAATCTTGCAGAATTGGGCAGTTCAGGCATTTGGGCAGTATGAACATGTAGCTAGATCATTTGGGCAACCCATCTAGACATACTTGGGCAACAAGCTACCACCCCTATATAAAGGGGTGAGATATGACAATCCAAACTCTACATTTTCTATACACTCTAAATACTTACAAAACTTTATATCTACTGCTTATCGTCTTCATCACTGTGGACATGCTTGATTATCGGATTGCTAACGCCGAGAACTCCTCCCGACCCATTATGTAGGTCTACGAATATGTCAGTACGCATATCAGCTAGTGCCCAACGAACAGAGATCTTTTGCACACCACATGCAATCTCAATCCCTCAATTTTTTGTTCAAGCAACTTCGTCTCGAATGTACCAAACCATTGATTGAATTAACCAAAACAACGTTGGGGAGGACTCGAACATAGACACTTATATATTCGAGTTTAACACCAAATCATTATATTTTCTAACAAGAAGAGATGGTATTAGGAACAAATAAAAACCATTTGTCATCCAATTAAGCCGAAATATTTTAGAAATCTTAGTCGACCCTCACGTTGATTTAATCACCTAATACCAGTGAACTCGAGTCAAGACTCATGAGTGGTGCAACCGAATCGGACTATTTAAGATGTCACGGCAACGTTTTGTTTACTAATAAGTAATAACCATGAAAGTATTTTAATGATTAAAACCTTTTTAATGCTTTTGATAAAGTCGTTTCATAATTATGAGAAATTTATCTCGTTTAATGGTGCATTTTTTTTTTTTCCCTTTCTTCTTCTAAATCCATCAACACTCGAGCCTCATGAAGGGTTGATGAATTATTGTTATTTTTTTCCCGTAAAAAAAGTGATGATTTATTAGTGATTAACTTTTTCCCTTTCCCTTTTTACTCTTGGTCTCTTGCAATGAAATTTTTTAGGTCAAAATAGTCAAGCGTAGTTGACTATTTCTATAACAAACAATAACGAAAAAGTCAGGTGATTCTATAATTGTCCCGATTGCCATTATTGTAATTGAGATTTCGAAAATGACCTTGGAGTTTCTTTTGATTTTTGGTTTTATATACAATGATTTGGCAAAATATCCCAGTATTAAAAATAGTTGCAATAAATAGATGGGGTGGAGTTTCTTTTGACTTTGGGCTTGTTCCAATTGATATCTCCACTTTCTAAAATCATAATATATTGAGGTGAATATGATGTTGATACATCAGAATCTAAAATTTAATTATTTGTGATATGATTCACACCAAATGAACCAGATCTCTTTCGATTCTAGTAGAAGTCTCTGATTCAATTTTTCTCAAGCACTTGTAAATTAACCATAGAGAGGATTTTAATCATATTTCAATAGTTATATTTTTGTGAAGTATTGTGATGAATATACGTTACCTTCCCTTTGATGATTATTATTATAAGATCTTTCATCTTACATTTCATTTTGCATATCTAAGTAATTATATCATGAATGTATTCGAGGGTAAAGATAAATTCCTAAATATTTCATTGTCTTTTTATCTTCAATTAGATCATATCGTGGCTTGTGTCGTCGACTCAAGCTCAAGACTTCACGTCGATATTTCAACATCTCCTTGACGTCGAACGTAAATTTAAACAAAGGCAGAAGAGGTCGTTCATTAATAATCTTTCACTTTCGTCTTAGCCAAGTTGTCATCAGACGTAGCCTATAAACCCGAGCTATCATAAATCAACCGAGTTGTCATAGGTCATAGCCCATAAACCGAAGTTATCATAGACCACTGTGTTGTCTCGACAAATGACTTTGGTCCACGAGCTATTTTAAAGTGATGTGGTACACGAGCTACTTCAATCTGTTCATTCGTCGAGCTATTAGACAACCGAATCAGTCTCGATATCAACTAATACAATTAACTACCAAAGTTTCAAATTTAATCAAACTATCCTAAGGTGACAAACATGATCAAGGTATTGACAAATTAGTTTATTTAATTTTCAAGGGGCTATAGTTCGTTTGTGTTTCCAATATCCAGCTTTAAACAAAAGCCAAATTTGAACATAAAAAACACCAACTCATCTGTATAAATGATAAAAAAATATGTATACAGAATGAAACTTGACCAACCAATGCCCCTTAAAAAACAACCACAATTATCATGCAGCTAAGCTAATTTATATTCATCTCTGCAACCAACAATATTGATTATCATATAGTTTTAATAAACACCTAATGACCTAATCACACGATTTTGGTAATAAAGAGAATTTTCAAAACATACATGCTACCCGCATTGTAGAATACTATATTAAGCAACACCAAATTACACTAGAAATATTCTCTACCAATACCAAATAACGTGCGGCCATGCACTCTTCATAGTCTTTTCTCTTAACTTCTACCTACACATTAACACATTCAACTTAAACCCAGCACAAAAAAATTAGAAATCAGACCTAAATCAATGGCTCCCAAACCCTCAAAACCAATGCCCTTTACAATCTCTTTCACTTTTTTCATGATTTTCCTCACACTTTTCACAATCCACTACCTAAGACAAATTCGCGACGACTTCCAAATTCGAGCCACGCAAGGTAAATTAGTAACAAACATTCGTCCCGAGTGGTTAAACTTCGTGTTGCGAGAATTCGGAGACGAGCGCACGATCAACGTGGGATTTGTGAACACGGACGAAATTCGTACGAAAGGGGTTAAAACGGGTAAGGTGAATTTCGACCCGGTTGATGAGAAATACATCAAATGGTCCGAATTATTTCCTGTGTGGATCAATGAGAGCTCGCATTCCGGTTGCCCGAGAATTCCGATGCCGGAATTCGGGGACTATCGGGAGGTGGATGTGGTGGTTGCTAGGGTTCCTAGTGAGGAAGTGGTGATTTGAGGAGTGTTTTTAGGGTGCAGGTGGATTTGGTGGTGGCTAATTTGTTGGTGAGAAGTGGGAGGAAGGATGATGGGCCGGTTTTTGCTGTGTTTATTGGGTCGGGTGGGCCCATGTGGGAGATTTTCAGATGTGAAGACCTTTTGTGGAATGTTGGTGACACTTGGGTTTACAAGCCTGACCTTGAGAGGATCAAACAGAAGGTGACCATGCCTGTGGGGAGTTGCCAAATTAGCCATCCGATTACTCAATCTGGTTAGCTTATTTTCTGGCATTTGATTTTCCCAAGTTTCAGATTTCTAATGATTTTTTAAAATTTCAGAAATTCTGGTATATTTAATTTAGAATTTTTAAGACTTTTAAAAGTCTCGAGATATTCATTTGAGATTTTAAAAAGTCTTACAATAATTCTGAATTATTTAACTTATTTGATATTTTTAATTTGTTAGAACTTTTTAAGATTTGCTGAATTTCAAAAATAAAAAAAATACATGAAATCCCACTCAACTCAAAATCTTCATGGGATTCCTCATAAATATGAAAATCTTTAAAAGTCTCGAATCACAAAACGTCACTCAAAATTCTAAACGAATACACCACCCTAAATTTCTCAAAATCCGAATTTCAGATGAAGAACTACTGAGAAGCAAGAATCACAATATTCGGCAACCAAGAGAAGCATACGTAACCGTCCTACATTCTTCCGAATCGTACGTATGCGGTGCAATAGCCCTAGCTCAAAGCATCATCCGAACAAACTCGACGAAAGACCTCGTCCTAATAGCCGACGAGCACATCACACCGCATTCCATCCACGGCCTACAATCAGCCGGGTGGAAGATCAAACGCATAAAACGGATACGTAGCCCCCATACCAAGAAGTACGCATACAACAAGTGGAACTATAGCAAACTCCGGATTTGGCAACTTAAGGGTTACGACAAAGTCATGTTCATCGACTCCGACTTCATCGTGACCAAAAACATGGATAAGTTCTTCGTCTACCCACAAATCTCAGCTTCTGGGAATGATGGGCACATTTTCAACTCGGGGCTTATGGTGGTGGAACCATCCGAATGCACGTTCGAAACCCTAATGAGGAAAAGGTTTTCGATCGAGTCGTATAATGGTGGTGATCAGGGTTTTTTGAACGAGATGTTTCCTTGGTGGCACCGTCTACCAGCAAAATTGAATTGGCTCAAGTTCTTCGGGTCCGGTCAGGAGTATGCGCACAGAATACCTGATGATACGCATGCAATACATTACCTAGGTTTGAAGCCCTGGTGGTGTTATAGAGACTATGATTGTAATTGGGATAAGATTGAGGCTCAGCAATTTGCGAGTGATTCCGCTAACGAGAGGTGGTGGTACGTTTATGATAACATGTCGAAGGAGCTGAGGGAGTATTGTTCGTTGACTCCGGAAATGGATGGGAACTTAAGGAAGTACAGAGAGATAGCTAGGAATGCTAGTTTGCCTGATGGGCATTGGAAGATTGAGATCAAAGACGAAAGACGAAATTTCATGTGAAAAATTACATTAGAGTGGCAAAAGTGGAATTTTGAAGTTCACTGCAGAATGTAAATGACCCAACAAGTAATCGCTACTCTATAATCCATATGTGCCGAAACACTACGCACACGTGTCGTTCACATAATATGTTCAAGTATGGGATGAAAGCGAAATGACGAAACGTAACAGAGAACCTCATCTGAATACTCTTGAACGATTCTTACACGTTTTTCTTCCAGTGAAAAATATAAAGTGAATAATTAACCGAACTCAACTTCAGATCATCGTACCTAANCAACACAAGGTGAAACTTGGTAAGATAAACTCGAAACAGGGAATTACCAGGAAGATGATTTTAGTTAGAAAAATCTGTTGTATTGGCTGGTGAGAGAGTCCCTGAGATTGGAATAAAGGCCGTAGAGCGAATACTGGCGGAGATTTTTAACCTCATACCACGAGTTGAAAACGGACTCGTGCTTGTCAGTTCCGGAAAACGCCAGCTGTATCCCGAGGCTGCAATCTACGGACCCACCATGATTCCTGCAGTTACTGGATCGGATGGCGCAGTCTTGATTGTTGAGGCAGACGAAATTCGACCTGCCCGAGCAAGCAGCACAACCGTCTCTTTTCCAGAACAAGTTTTGCAGCCTCCCTTTTCTAAATTCTTGAACCTGCATTCAAATGGATTTTATCAAAGCTAAATATGGGTGTTAATTTAATTTTCACGGGTGAAAATTGACATGGTAATGGCTTAATTTCTTACCAAGGTAAAACTGGTGACTATAAATGTACTGTTTGCAACAAAGGCAGGAATCGATCGGGCAGCATATCTTCGGCCAGCAAATGCCACCATATAGCCTCCGTAAGAGTCCTGGACAAAAAGAAAAAGAAAATATGCATAACGTGAAAAAACTTGCTTAGAATAAAAACTTATGTGTCTCCTTCAATAAAAAACAGGAAAAAAAAATCTACTCTGTGTATTCTCTCTTTGATTGCCTCCACAGCTAAGTGCCATCACTAACATATCAGGAACGGGCACAAGGAGTCCAACCTATAATTCACCTTGTCCGCAAAAACATTTCCAACTTTCTTTGATTTATTACCAGCGAAATTACCCTCACTGCTGGTCAACCACAATTTCTCAGTGAAACTAAAGGAAGAATCATATACCACCTTGCGAGAACCATATTCTTTATGAACTGGGTTCTTACCAGTGTCCCGGCAATGTTATTTTCATATGCATAAAGCTGCAACCTAATATTTCTAGATTTGGGGATTCTGCAACACCATGAATATCACATGGTTAACATTGTTTTGATTCTTTTGATCTTACATAGTTTTTTTTTTTTCTTTTTCTTTTTTTTTTAAACTTTTCTGCTTAGTCAAGAACCAATAATAAAAAGAGATAATAACCATTATCTTCATCTTGAGATTAAGTCAAGCTTCTAAACGCAACGGAGCGAAAGAATGCCAAATAGTACACAACCAGTCATTATAATTTACAACCCTCTCAAACAACCTGAAATCTACGCAATTAGTCTAGATAATACTTGCAAGCAGTTGCCACCTTTTCTTCATTTAAGGATTTTGTCAATAACATTTTACACTTTACAGGATAAAAAAAATGATGTCAGGTTGGCTTTTCTAAAATTTACAACTCAAGACTGAATGGTGACACATCACAAAATTCATATGATCATGATCGCAAAAGAAGTACTAGATGAATGAACTCTTTTCATCTGTTATAAAACTTCACCAATCCCTCGGTGATGGAGATATATACTAAGTTCCCATAACATATCGCTCCTCCAAATGTACCAAAGTACTACCAACAAGAGAAACAAGAAATTCATAATAATTAATCTAGTTCTGAATAGACTAATAACGCATCACTTCATCATGTGTACTTTGTTCTATCCTATATCATAATTATTAATCTAGTTCTGAATAGACTAATAACGCATCACTTCATCAGGGGGACTTTGTTCTATACACCACCAACTTCATGGTTTGTATCCTGAGATATCATAAGCATTCACTCAAGACCGATGAAATTGGCAAGTTCTGAACATATCCATGAAGCTCGTCATTGACTTTATCTCATTTTCCAACCACATTTCTGAGTACATAATATCATATCACAAAAAAATTCAGAACTAGTTCCAATCAGAAACACATGTTACCCCATATTATCTAAAAGCTTAACAGATCTAGTTTTCAATCAAATAAATTTCTGTTAGTTATTATGTATGTACTCATGAACGGCCCAACACTGAAGTCGGAACGAACACCGAGTACAATATGAGCAAAGAGTAACTCCGTCGGAACAATCCATATAACAACAAAAACCAGTTAGCCCAACAACACCAACCAGAAAAGATAAAATCAGAATTTTTGTAATGGAATTAAAACAGCGATCAGCAAACAAGAACGCCGTATTTGTAGTGGGATTAAATTAGCGATCAGCAAAAAACTACAAATACGGCATTCCATCGGTTAATCGTCAATTACAAGTACATACTCAGCTTAGTTTAAAAATCTCAGTACCGGGAAGAAGTTGGAGGTGTTGACGGTGAGCAGCGAGATCTCGTCGACCTTAGGGCGGAAGACGGCGACCTGAGAGTTGGCAGTGGCGAGCGACAGCCGGTGGTCACAGGGAGACAGCTGGTAGTTTCCGGAGAAGAACGCCGGCCTCGATGCGAACGCGATCCCGAAGGTGAAGCCGTCGGACCTCTGCACCGTCGCGTCGCCGCACGGAGAGTACACGTGGTTCGTATTGTCTCCGGACGCCACAGAAGAGATTACGAAGAGAAGCGACACGAAAAGAGCGATCGGCGGTGTCGGAGACGCCATTTAAGGTGAGCTTCGCTGTGATCCAGTTGAGTTTTTTTTTTTTTGGGAAGATTTGGTGGTTTTTGTTTAATTTTGAACAGCTGGGGGATTTGAGGGTAAAAATCACAGTCGTTTGAATCAAGTGAAGGGTAAAAAGTAATTTCCGCGTGAGATGGGTCCCACTGTCACTGAGTAGTGAATTCAACTATTTTTAACGAGTCAAGACTGTGAGCCCCACTCGAAATTGTATGAAAGCTCGTTTAGTTAATGATGTTGTCAAACCTCAGCTCGTTCAAGTAAACAATAAGAATTTTTATGTAATTTTTGAATATTCGGCTCGAGTTTGAATTTGATTTACTAAAATTAATAAACTGAGTCGAAGTCAAATTTATAATATGATCAGAAAATATTTGACTCCCTTGTTCAAGTTTGGGTTTAATACACAATCGCAAAGTTTACATCATATTATATGTCTCATCACATTAAATATAAATTAATACTACTTGAAATTTGTTATTTTTTTTTTCAATCTTATTAGAATATCATTACCAATTTTCAATTATTGATTTCTCCCTTATGTCAACAAAGGTATGAGAAAATTTGTTGAGACTGAGTTCATATAATTTGGCTCATTTTTTGATTTGTCAGAAAATGATATTGGGATATAATATCAGCTATATCAATGTTAATCCTAAGCTTGTATTCATCCTTTAATCAAATCGAGATATTGGATGGTAACTATCATATTTCATTTATGTATTCCATTCCCAAAGATTCAACTAGCAATAACTTATTCATTAATCGAAAATCCACCAAGGATTTTATTCTCGTACTTCAATTCAATTATACATGAAGTCTATTGAAATTCCAGTTGGGCTCTGTTCTGCTTGGCTTGAGAGAGATATACAAGAAATCACAACTAACTTAAACTGGTCCTATCATTGAAACAAATTGAAGAAAAAAACACAACTGAATATATGTTCTCCATTATTATCTTTCATCTTGAAAAACCATATTGAAAAACTAAGGTTCACACGACCTGAACTTCCCAAGTAGGAAAGATGAGAATTTGATCTCTCATGATTAGAACCCTAAAGCCTCGATAGTACCAACTATCGAGGAACTTCCTTAAAACCAAACATGATGATAACACATAAAAACCGAACAAAATGTGTCAATTGGATATATTAAGCCATTTTAAGCCCACCAAATGTTACACCTAAATCTGGCTCGAATCACATATCAAAACCCTGATGCAAGTATATCTGCATTCCTGCTAATCTGCAATCCTAAACCCAAGAACTAATGCTTCATCTAGTTCAGAAGGGTGCAAAAGACCATAAATACAATAATAATAATAGAAAAAAGCTTCTTTTCCAACCCGAAACTCTCATCACCTAACCAGACTCATTCCCAAAGGGCAAAGAAAAGAGTCTCTTCATATCAAATCCGACAGCAAAATATATTCATTCCTGAATTCAGTTATCATATTAGAAGCAAATGGTCCTAAAGCGTAAACTATTTCATTAACCCATCATCGGTCTCACATACTCATCATACATTCGAAGAATCATATTCATGAATAGAAATTTGTTCCCCAATCCAATATTTTTCTGAGACGAAGAACTACTCACAAACAACCTTACGGCATAATGACAATGGCGAACATGAAACTAGTTTTCACATCAATCATTTCACAAGTAGAATCCAGCATACACATATTGGTAATTGGTATCAACAAAATGAAGCTAATTTACAAAGCAAGATCGATCTTTTTTTTTTTTTCCTCCCCTTACCTACGTCATATTATCACCAATGTCGGTTTCTACATTCGTGTGCCACAGAGGAGAATCTCTCGCCGGCAAAGACGAACTGTAGCACAAATCGAGCCTCTCCCGAAACTTAACCTCGGGCGATTTTAGCATTGTGGGCAATGGCAGGTAAACGCATTTCTCCACGCAAGCTCTGTGTCTCGGCTTGATTCTGTTCTCCAAGCTGAATGAAAAGTAGTGCGGAAAGGCCACGAGCTCCTTCATCTCCCGACCCATCTCCACCAAGAAGTAGTTGAACTTGGGCTCGAAATTCTCCTTTATGCTGTAGCAGAAGAGGGAAGGGAACTTTCTAAACATGGCAATGGTGTCCCTGTAGGGAAACCCTAGCCGCTGCAGGTACTCTATTCGGGGGACGAACTTGTCCTCGACCGAGCAAGACAGAAGTGGGGCCCACTTGGAGACTTGCTCGATGCCGATGGTGCCCTGGAGGAAGTAGAGCGTGGGGCGGAGCCTCCGATCGACGCTGCAGGTGAGGAGGCGGGGGCGACGGTGGATGACGTGGCGGAGGTCGGCGGCGCGGACGCCGGCTTCGCGGAGGAGGAACGTGGCCGCCGGGACCACGACGGAGGATGTGGGGGAGGTCAGGAGCTCCGGGCACATGGGGAGGACGCGGCGGAGGTCTTGGGCGGTGACGCCGAGGGAGAGGAGGAAGTCGACGGTGGACCGGATCTGGGGGAGCGGCGCGGAGAGGAGCGGTGGGTGGGAGTGGAGGCAGCGGAGGGAGTCCACGCCGAGGGAGTCCAGGTAGAGGAGGAGATCCTGGATCAGGGGTTTCTCCGTCGGGGCGGCGGCGGTGGAGGCCTCGCCGTCCGTGGNNGAGGGGGGCGGGGGGCGGAATTGGAGGTTCTTGGGCGCCCTGGGGTGGTGGTGGTGGTGGTGGTGGAAGGGGATGGAGGTGGTTCCGGCGGCGGCGGTGGCGGCGGTGGGGTGGTGGAGAGTTTCCCCCATGGCTGTCACATGCTAGGGAGTGATTGAGGTGGAAGAAGATGAGGCTAAACGGGCGTCTGTTATCTGGAAAATCTCACCGTGGATGATGATGGCCCTCATCGGGCCCACTAGCATTCGGCTAAAAGTCTGTGTATCTTTTAGTGAACAGGATTAATTTAAGCCCAATAAGGCCCAATGGATAGTGGCCCAAAGAAACGACATCGTTGCGGCATTGCTACCTTTTAGCCACCAACAATGGCTATAATATCCAGTGACGGGTGAGTGAAAATCGGATAAACCAAAGCATTTGCAGACGATGGCTTGCTCCGCCGCTATTTCGACGGCCGCTGTTCTCTCTCCCAACCCCAAAGCCTCCGCCGCCTCCGGAAATTCCTTCGCCCCTCGCTCTGTTTCAATTGCCTCGTCGTTCTCCAGCGGAGCCCTCGCCGCCCGCGCTCCCCGCTCATTCTCCTCCTCCTCCCGCTCTTCCTCCGCTAAACGGCGCAGTTTTGTTGTCCGCGCTGTGAGTGTTTCCTGTCTGATTCCGTCTATAGCTGCCTAACTGTGATGGGAAAATGTGCTAATTATGTTATTGTGTTCGTTAGTGTTGTTGTTTGACTTTGAAATTGCATTTTCTGTTTCTCAAATAGAAATTATATTCAGTATACTTTAATTCGCGAGCTGAATTTTAATTTTGTAAGAGAAGTTGTTCTTCTTTTTCCTTTTTCTGAGTTTTGGTTTATGTTGAAGTCAGAATTTTGGTTACTTTGTGGTTTGTATAAATATTACCTGCGTGTAAAATGGGGTGACATTTTGGAATATGTTCTCCAATGTGTTACACACGGCTCACTTGTGTTTGTGGCGTTTTGGTTCATTATTTTCACTTAAAGTTTTAAACTTGGAGACATAAGTTGTTCCCTGAAGAATATTTAGTATAGTGTTGTTGACAAGAGAAAAAAGATTCAAACTTTACACTTCTGTTCTCACTGAACTCAAGTCAACAGATGCATTTTTGTTTGAGATTCTCAGGTTTTTCTACTCACTTTGTGACACATGTAGAGCAAAAAAGGTGTTATAAAAGATATAAGACGGATATCCACTAGAATTAGCTCACTGGTTCAATTTTTCCTGGTGGCTGACTTCTTATGCCAACAGACTATTAATTTTGTAATATTTTGACAGAGCGAACTTCCTCTGGTTGGAAATACAGCCCCAAACTTCGAGGCAGAAGCTGTGTTCGATCAAGAATTTATTAAGGTAATTAACAATGTAAATGATAAATGGCTAGTGGGTACGTAATGATTTGATCTATATTCTTCATTCATCTCTGTAAATTATTGTGTTTAGTGTTTATCTGGTTATATTTTATTACCCAAATCATAAAAAAGAAGGTTCTCTAATGTTAGTTTTCATGACATTAGAGTGCTTTTGTTTATTTCTTCCTCTTTCTTTCCTGCAGGTTAAACTTTCTGAGTACATAGGGAAGAAATATGTTATTCTCTTCTTCTACCCATTGGATTTTACTTTTGTTTGCCCCACTGGTGAGTTTTACATCAGAGTCTATAACTGCCGTATCTCAATTTTGCTTTTCACTGATGCCAGCATTTACATACACATCTTTTTTTCTTGTGTAGAAATCACTGCTTTCAGTGACCGGTATGAAGAGTTTCAGAAACTGAACACAGAAGTTTTGGGTGTATCTGTGGACAGTGTGGTAATGCTTTCTTTTACTGTTAAAAACTGTTTTTTTATGTTGTTAAACTTACACAAGCAGCTAAAACTATAGTATATATTGGTATTGAACTTTTTGCAATGTTCGACTGTAGCCGGGCTGTGATTTTCCTATTGTTGATGTTTTGCTTAATGCTTCATTGTAGTTTTCCCACCTTGCATGGGTCCAAACCGACAGGAAGTCTGGGGGATTGGGTGATTTGAATTATCCATTAGTTTCTGACGTGACCAAATCAATTTCAAAATCATACGGCGTGCTCATTCCCGATCAGGTATATTTTTATGTTTCATATAATTCGATTAACTTTTGGTTTGTGATGTATTATGCTAAAACTGTATTTGTAACGTATTTATTTAATCGTGTGATATCTCCTGGCTACGAAATCAATCTGAAATTCTTAATATATCGTTGTGCTGTTGAGAATTATTATCTAATCCAAGAATTTAATGTAAAGTGTGTAGCTTATGTTCGTTTAGTTATGCTTTAGCACACACCAAATGCACAAAATATAAGCAAGAAAAGCATGAGGACAGGCGCTTTAGCCATTTAAAACTCAATTTTTTCTTTTTTTTTTTTTTGACAAAGAAGATAATGAAAAACGAAAAATGAGCATGGAATGTCCTTGAACTAAATCCGGAATGTGATAGTATCTGGTCTATTTCTCTTGGATCTGTCTGTGTGATGATTATTTTTATCTGGAATTCTGCTTCACCTCAAGATTCTCTCAGTTTTTTTATAAATTCCATCAACTTTGCTCTTAGTTAAAAAGTTGAAAGAAGGCTTGAGTGCATGGTTTTTTTCAAAAAAATCCAATCTCACATCAAATCACACTCAACTTTAACTCAACTCCACTATACTTAATATTATCAATATAATTAAATAATACCAATTAATCATCGTCACACATCACATCAACTTAATTTCACTATTCATTCATTAAAATATTTTTAACTACTCATCACTTCAAATCACTTATCTTCTACTTTTGCATCAAATCAACTTTATTTATTTTATTTTAAATATCATTTTAATACGAACTAAAAATTCCACTCAAACCTAACCCAACTTCTTTTGCAAAATTAATCCTGGTTAACAAAAAAAAAATCGAAAAAAATAAACTTATAAACAAGCAAACCCTTTGATTCCGAAACATTGATCGGTCATTGTTGGGACTATTTCAGGGGATTGCATTAAGAGGGCTATTTATTATCGACAAAGAGGGAGTTATTCAACACTCGACCATCAATAACCTGGCCATTGGCCGTAGTGTTGATGAAACACTCAGAACTCTTCAGGTACTCTCTCTCTCTCTCTCACACACATAAGAATGCTTTGAGCTAAATAGTTTATGTCGTTTAGTACTCGATTTATGACTTCCCAATAATCTTGAACATGTGGCACCCATCAAATGAAATCAAAACACAGATGAAAGATAGATAATAGATGAAGATAGTGAGAATAAAATCCGATGCTTTACCATCAAATGTTGTACATATATTATGTGTTGATGTTTTTTTTCGAGCTCATATGTATTGTTCTTAATGCCCTTTTTGGGCAGGCTTTGCAATATGTGCAAGAGAACCCGGATGAGGTGTGCCCAGCTGGATGGAAGCCCGGGGACAAGTCCATGAAACCCGACCCAAAGCTCAGCAAGGAATACTTTTCCGCGATTTAGACTTGGTTTTGATCCAAGAACTACTACATTGTTGTTGTCATTTAGATATTCTGATGATTTTTTTTTTTTTTTTTTCAATATTTCATGGTTTTTTTTTGCTTTCGGTAGCTTTGTTTTGGATTGAACTTTGTGAAAATTGTTGAATTGAATAAAGTGCTCAGATCATATCCTTTTTCTTTCTTTCTATTTTTCAGACTTGTGAGTTGTGAATTGTGATAACTGGATGGTTTGTTTTTGATTTTTTTTTATTTGTTTTAGTAAAATTACGATAATCCAAAATAAAATTATCTATAAACCTTTTATAAAAGGCCCCTTAGAATATTTAAGGTGTATTATCCACTAGTACAAATCCCGTGCGATGCACGGGTAAATATTCATTAATATTTATAAACTAAAAATTCTCATTAAATAATATTATAAATTAAAAACATTGAATCAGTATGTAATGCAATGTAGCTATATTACTTTATTGAAAATATTATAGAAAATTTAAATAGTGCAAATTTACATAAAAATGTCTATTTAAAATTAGTACACAACCCGCGCGTTGCACATAATTGATAATAAACTACATTATATTCATTTCAAAATGTGTCATTTCAAAAATTTTATTCGAAAATTCAATTTAACTATAATGTGATTCCATAAAATAATTATTTTGGTAAAATTTATCATATATTTAAAAATAATAAGTATAAATATAAAACTTATATTGTTTCATTAATTAATATGAATTTATTTTTGTATAAAATATCCAAATTAAAATTATTAAGTAGTTTAGTAAAAACAATCAGTCATAAGGGTTTTTATGCCAAAAAATCGACACTTCTTATCATGCTAAAAAAAAATGAACAGTGCATTTCACACAACAATTATTTGAAATGTCATAATAAAAAATAAATTAAATCGAGGCTCACTACAACAACAACAACAACATACCCAGTAAATCGAGACCCACTAATTGTAAAAAAAAATTGACCTGAGCTTTTTCTGTAAAAGAAACATCGATACATGCACATAATATCAAAATATCTGCTCATATTATTTTGTCGGAGTTACGGTAATTTTCTTATGTTAATTTCATACGAAAAATGAAAACCCACGCCTAAAAACCAATATATTGGCCTGCTCATTATAAAAAAGGGAAAAAGAAAGATAAAATAAACACGAAAAACGCAAAAAAAATGAGACACACATTGAGATAGGTGGATTAAAATAATAATAATAATAATAATAATAATAATAATAATAATAATAAAAATAAAAAATTAATTAATTAATAAGTATAACCAGTGGGATATTGTATTCCATAAAATATGAATAAATATATACCCTTATTATTTCATACTAAGAAAAAATATACACTACATTGTTTCATTTATTACTTTGGTTTTCATAATTGTATTTTGAAGTAATTTTATTAAAAAATTAAGTTGTTTATATTGAGTTCCATATGCTAATACATCAATTGTGGCATTATAAAATATATAATGGATTAAACTTAAAATATACATTTTTTATATTTTTTGTATAATATTTTATTATTTGGATAATACAAATTTTCAATTAAATAAAGAAAAACTGAACCCTTGCCGTGTACAAAATAAATTTTCTAAATAAATTGAAAATCAAATTCAATATTTCCAAAAATATTGAATGTTATTTATTAAAAAATGTGAATCACAATCATGATTTCTTATAAATATAAATTTAAAGTTCAATTATTGGAAAATAATTTAGTTATTATAATGGCACTAATAAATAACTACTGAGTTATAAAATACTCATTTAGTATACATCGTTGTTCAATTTACTCATTAGCTTTATGACCTATATTAATTTTTATATATTGTATATATAAAAATACAATTCGATGGTTATTAACTTTTAAAAACTAATAAAAAATAATTCGATGGTTATTAACCAATATTATATATGTAAAACTAATAAAAAATACAAAAGTTATTAACTTTTAAAATATATTTACAATTCAATGGTTATAATAAATAATTATATTAAAATACAATTAATATATGTAACATGACCATAAATAATTAACATATTTATAGACAATCCGAACCTAATTATTTTTTGTTTGGAAGTAAATTAAAATCAGCATGTAATTTTGTCACATAAAATCTCGAACCATGCGAATCTGCTACTTAAGTTCTGAAATAATATATAGGGGAGGGGGATTAGTAGCACCCAAAGTCAATATAAATAACTTTAATTAATAGCATGCTTCATAAACTTCTCTTTACTGAAAATTTATTAATATTCTATTTTAACCTTTTTAATTTCCTTTTTCACTAATTAGTTATATGAAAACCTTCAAAGACCTCTCATATACATATCGGGCCATAGCCTATAGAATATCCACCCAGCTTTCGATTTAGATATTACTTTTTCGATGGATCACGAGACAAATAAAAAAAAATGCTACAATTAAAATTTTATGTGGAATTAAAATCAAAATTGAATAAACTAAAATAAACAGAAGCGTGAAATGAAGCCTAATCCAGTATTAATTACCCTAATTAGCCATCCATAAAAATATGCAGCTCTATGTACTTGCATAACCAAAAATATAATCAACTTGTTTTTTTTTTCTCCATAATACAACCAAAACAAATAATAATAATAATAATTCCTTTACACGGAGATGTAATTTCTTTCAACCTCTTCCCATATCAAGCTGGCTGTAATTTCATCGTATTCTGGAATATGTTCCTGAAGTGAAAAAAAAAATGTATATATATATATAAATAAATATAAATTAGGAAAAATATGTAAACAGTAACAAATTAAAGTAAATAAATAAGTGAGAATAGTATAGAAAGAGAGTTCCTCCATTGATATTTGTAAATATAAAATGATAAAATTGTTGAAAATTAAACTTGATTTATAAATTATAATATTGTATTTCAAAGAATTATCTAGAAGGTGGTAGATTACATTTATGTACAAATATGTAGAATAGATTTGTGTAGAATAATCTAGGAAACATAAATTATGGCATGTGTAGAAGTATGAATAGTTTTGTGTAGAATAATCTAGGGATAGTAATTAATGCATAGGCTATAAACTTTCAGCTTTCTCCAAGATTGCCTATAAATATACCATGTGTGATGTAAAGTGAATTGATGAGAAAAAAGTTTCTACTTCCTTACAATAAATTCCTGTCTAGCCGTTATCTTTACACTACTCATTCTACTCAACATTCACATCCACAACATATACATATTCCAACAAAAATAACAGTAGAATGTGAAATATAGTTAAAAATATGTTATTAGCTATTAATATTTATTAAAATAAAAGTTAAGTATGATTGAAAAAACATTATTCATGAGAAAAATATCCATTTTTTTCACATCAAAACATACTCAACAACGTCATTGTTAAACCTAATCGTAGATAGTTATATAAATTTTTAACAAATATATATACATTAATGCCACTCTAAAAAAACTGACATATTCCAACGAAAAATCAAAAGGTAATATATTTTAATGACCTCCGTTAAAATCATTCCAAAGGATATTCCAAGGAAAATAGTCTAGTGAGAGTTTTCCATTAAAATTTTAAATGAAATTTGATTATTACAACAATTATTTTTCAATGGTTTTTACCATAGGAATTTCCATTGAAATTTTTATATTTTTCACCCATATTCTAACAGTTGGAAAATCTACCGTTGCAATCGTCAAAACCGAACAAAAATTCTAATAGAAAACTTATTCCAATTTCCAAATAAATATTTTGGTTGATATTTTCGTGGTAATCCCTCAAAAAAATTTCAATGAAAATAACACATTGGAATATCGGTTAGAAATGCCCTTGGAATTACATGAGAATATATTTTTGTTAGAATTTCATCATTTTATTATAATGTACGCAAGTGATATACATTGAAAAATAAAATAAACAAAAATACGATATTTTTTCAGTACAAATAAACATTTTTATTTAAAATTTGCGACCGATTAACTCATGATTTAATCGTCACAGTCTCACACAAGAATTGTGCAATAAAAAGTTTGAATTTCAACCTAAGACCTCTCTCAATCAATATTTTTCTTGCATGTTCTACTTAATTATGAGCACCAAATATTGTCATATGCATTTACTATATCCTAATTAATTCACTTTTTTAATAATAAATCACAATTACATAAATTAAATACCTCAAGCTGTGTGATTAATTGTTTGGGTGTTGGGGCTGAGACGATAATTCTACGTGCAGCCTGAGACACAAATCCTTCATCAACGGCCTTATCAATAAAAGACAACAAGCTATTGTAATAACCCTCCACATTCAAAAGCCCTACCTGCACAATTTTGTACAAAAAAAAAAAACCAATTAATAGTTAATAATTAATTATAGGGTCATTAATTAGTGCCTATGATTAACAATAATCATAATCAACCGTCAAAAAGGCTGATCATGTCATTAGGGAACACAAGAAGCCCCCTTTTTTGACTGTCGGGTATTTTTAAATAATCCTAATATTAACAATGAATATTCTTTTCTATATATCAATTTATTTATTTATTTTAATTGTTTCTAAAGAATTTTGGGCATGATTATTTATTATAATATTTATGGAGATGAAAGGGACACACGAGGACTATCAGTTTCTTTACATTTTATAATAATTTTGTAGGCACGCGCTCGTATCAAATTCTTGATTATTAGTCAATAAAATCAATGTTTAGGGCATAATTAGCTTCTCAATTTGTTTAGAAAAGGAAGAAAGGAGAACGTGCATGGAGTCAAATAATTTTGAGGATGTTCAAGAAAAAATTAAGGGTTATGGTAAATTAATGAAAATGAATGTCTAAAAGTATTTAAACTATTCGAGTATCACTCTATGATTGGCTGATAATTAAAAATAATTTCATCTTTTTAGAGATTTGTGTTCCGATAGAATTTACAAGGACAAAATGTATCCACCGTTAGATCAATATTTATAATGTATATAAGTGTTTTATAGGGACTATGATCTAAAGTAAACAATTGTTATGATTGTATTATTTTGCGGCCACGAACTTATTGCAAGTACTAATAATATGGTACTGTTTGTAGCTATTTATTGGAGCTTAATTTCATTTTTATTCTAATTACTTGCTCCTGAAAATGATACACTAATTGAAAAGATAGTATAACTTACTACACAAAAATGAATTTTTCTACGGAGGTTTGATAAAATAAATAAATGTATAATAAAAAATTAAAGAAAAAATATATATTTTGTTGAAGTTCGAAAAAATAAGGAAAAATATATAATAATTTATAATATAAAACAAAGTGAATTAACAATATCTTCTAAATTATGAAAATTAATTTATATATATCATTAGTTTTATTTATAATATTTGCATTTAAAATATATAAGAGAATAATGTGGGTAAAACACAAAATTTAGAAAATTAGATAATACGCGCATAATAAAAAGAAGATATTAAACAGATTTATGGAATAGTTTAAATGTATTATTATTATATATGGCAATCCCAACCTAAGTTATTTGGTATAAAAAAATTAGTAATTTTTATCCTAGTCATATTACAAAATATAATGTTTTGACACATAATATTACAAAGCGTGTGTTTTTAAGAAAAATGTTACATGTACATAATAAATCAATGTACATAGATGTGTACATAACACTCACATAGAGTGAGGCCCACTTGATTTTTTATTTTTGGTAGGACCCACTTAATGTGAGTTTTATGTATACATTTATGTACACTATTATGTACTTATAGCATTTCTCTTGTTTTAAATACTTTGCTTAGTTTGAATAAACTTCAACAATGATATATCCCTATATATAATCCTTCACAAATATATAAACTCACTGGCTTTCGATGGATTCCAAGCTGAGCCCATGTAATGACTTCAAGCAACTCTTCGAGCGTGCCATAGCCACCTACAAATTGACAAATAAATGTTGAATTAAACATCTATATTTCAAATATATATATATATAGCAAATTTATATTCCAATTTTTATCATATAACCCTAGTGATTTCTTATTTTTCAACTAATGTAATGTAGTAGTGTAATTAGGGTTTTTATTTTCATTACAAAATTTCTTATAATTATACGATGTTTATATATGTACCAGGAAGGGCTATGAAGGCATCGGCTTGCCGGGCCATCTCGGCCTTCCTCTGATGCATATCCGACACTGCGTGAACTTGTCCGATAGTTTTTCCAGTTATCTGCAATAATAATATATATATGTACATCTTATGAATATCACGAAAAATTAAAATTTGTCGACTATATTATATTACATAAAATCATAAGATTGATTCGTGTCCTACTCGAGTGGTAATGTTCGACTCGTGTTAGTGTTCACGGAAATGGTTTCAATGAGGAATGTAGCCAAAATAAATAAATAAAATTACTCTAAGCTAGGGCTAAACGAAATCTAATGTGTGTTTGAAGCGCGGTGAGTTAACTATTAGGTAGGTCGACTCGAAAAAAAAAATGTATATTTTAATTTGAAATGCTACAATTTTGTTATGTTTTTTTTTTCTTAATATTTAAATCTATTATGAAAATACAAATATTTGTTTAAAATGGATGTGCACTAACGATAAATTTTTAAAATTTTAACTATTATGACACAACATTTGAGTCTCACGTGTGCTTTGAGATTCCACCCAAAAATGTCATCTTATTAAAAAGTACAACAAGACACATTTTGATTATCAAAGATAATCATGCTTTTCATTAATTAGTACAGCAAGACACAATTTGATTATCAAAGATAATCATGCTTTTCATTAAACATGGAAAGTATATCTCAAGATAAAGTATCCAACAAGATAATGCATGTTAGTTTTTATCAAACATTAATTATAAAAATAAATAAATAAATAAATAAATAAATTGTGGTGCAAAGCCTCCAATGAGAAAAAAATGATATTACATTAGTTTCGTGTAAGAGAATTTAGTTTTTCCAACAATTAATTGTTACCAAATACACACACATGTACATACATACCCTATTAGGTTAAATTACATACAAGTTAAAATAAAATAA